GAACAGTGGAAGACAGGATGAATGCGCATGGAGCATAGCAGGGTGAGTCGATACACGATGGGATAGATGATCGCCTCAATAGGGAATGGACCAATGAAGCGGTGGTCCAACTTCTTAATCAGGCGATCGACCCAAAGGTGCTTTGTGGATAACCACACCTTGTCACCCACAGCTAGCAGAGGCGTCGCCCGACGTGAACGATCTGCAAACTGTTTGTAGTCCTCCTTCGCCCGTTCTAGTTGTTGCGCCACTAATCGGTGAACCAACTGCAACTCCCCGAGAAATTATTGCGTTTCTGGGACTGGGGAGTCCACAATTGACAACGGGAAAAATCATGGATGGTAGCCCATGTTCGCATAAAATGGCATTACGCGAGTAGATGTATGCTGCAAATTGTTAAAGGCAAACTCCGCCAAAGGGAGGTAAGTCACCCAATCGTTCTGCCGATGGTTGACAAAACATCTCAGATATTGAGTGAGGATGCCAATCACTTTCTCAGTCCTGCCATCAGTCTCCAGATGGTGCGCCGAAGCCAAAGACACCTACACTTGTAATGCCATCACGAGGTTTTCCCAAAACTGAGCAGTAAACTGGACACCGCAATCCGAAACCACCCTGTCCGGCAGACCATGTAAATGGAAAACATGCTGCAGAAATAACTGGGCAGTAGTGTGGGCCGATGGCAACTTCCGACAAGGGATAAAAAGAGCCATCTTGGTGAACAGGTCAACCACCACGAGTACCGTCATATAACCCAATGACGAGGGCAAGTGTGTCTAAAAGTCCATGGAGATTGCCCCCCATGGTCTACCCGGAGTCAGCAGCAGTTGAAGGAAGTCCAGGAGGCGCACATGATGCGGCCTTCGCTTGTCGACACGTAATACAAGAGGCGACGTAAGAAAAGACGTCATGACGGACTCGCAGCCACCAAAAAGTCCATGTGACAAGGTGAAGAGTTTTATAAAGAAGCCAAAATGGCCAGCAGCAGGATTGTCATGACATTGAGTCATGATGAGGGCTCTAAGCATCCTGGTGGGTATGTACAATAGTCCTCGATGCCGTAGCAAGCCCTCCTCTAGAGTCCTGCAATTTCCCCCATTCTTTGCTGTGACCAAGTGTCTACGTGCTGCGCCTCTCTTACTTGAGCCCTCAAATCCACCGGGTCCTGAATAACAGCCAAAGCTTCTGGTGGCAGGACCGTACATGGAGAGGAAGAGGGTCCTCAGGACTATGTAAACTCGGGTTTACGAGATAGGGCATCCGCTCTCTGATTTTGTCCACTGGCAACGTATGTGACTGAAAAGTTGAACCTAGCGAAGTATGACGACCACCGGATCTGTCATTGGTTCAACTTCTTGGCAGTGGACAAATGTTCCAGGTTACAGTGATCCATCCAAACCTCCACCTTGTGCCGAGCCCCCTCCAGATGATGTCACCAGGTCTCGAACGCAGCCTTGATGGCCAGCAATTCATTTTCCCAAATGGTATAATTGCACTCAGAAGTTGTGAGCTTCCTTGAATAATATGCGCACAGGAAAAAAGGTGTGCCATCTGTTGGGGCTTGTAGCAACACTGCCCCAATAGCTACGTTGGAGGCATCTGTCTCGACCACAAATGGACGATTCGGATCAGGATGCCTCAATATAGGTTCGGCAACGAAGGCTTTCTTTAGAGCCTCAAAAGCCCGTTGCTGCGGGGGGGCCCCACTGGAATGGGACCTTCTTGCAAAGGAGCTGGGCGATGGGATCCATCAGCTTGGCAAAGTCCGGGATGAAGGTTCTGTAGTAATTAGTGAACCCCAAGAGACGTTGCACACCCTTTACTCGATGAGGGGGTTCACAAGTTACACAAGGCCTCTACTTTCCTCGGGTCCATGGCAATGCCCTCGGAGAAATAATATGCCTTAAGAACTCTACGGAAGTCTTGAAAAAGAGGCATTTCTCCAGCTTCGCATAGAGTTTATGCTCCCGAAGACGTTGTAATACCTGACGAATGTCCTTCAAGCATCTGGCCACAGTTAGGCTTTTAATGGGATTCTCAAACATGACACGTAATTGCTGCTGAAAACCCTGGTAGTCATTTAGTAAAGGGCTATCTTGTATCAGCAGAGGAGTAGCCCATCTAGCAGCTGGACCTGATAAGAGGCTAATAACAAACCCCACCCTAGAAAATCTTCACCACCCTAACCCTTAAGGACATAAATAATTGGCATTGTCCCATAAACGCCAGGAACATATCAGTCTGTCCCAAGAATTTATCTGGCACAGATACCAGGCATTTCTTAAAGGGAGGAACTGGGGGAGGAACAGGAGCCTGTAGCTGAGAAAGGTGATTTACCAACTGTGTTACCTGGTGTTGTAGAACCTGGTTCTGTAAGAGTTGGTCAATTTGTTGCTGCTGTTGCTCCACCAGTTGCTTTAATTGGGTTGGGTCCATCTTGGCTATAAGATGGATTAGTTTGGCTGGAAACAATAATGTTCTGTCCCACCTGTATCCACAGGTGAGAATCTCAAGTTACAGAGTTCAAATACTTTACGCAAACAAAACCAGAGAAGATTCAATTGCTCTGTTATCAGAGTCCTTTGGCAATCCTCCTAGAATCTGTCTGGCAATTCTGTATAGTTCGTAAATCACAATGCTGTAATCAGATGCCCTTCTTTCCAAGGCAAAATCCACTTTGTTTCCAGCAAAAATTACGAACTCATACACTCCCTTATATCCTCTGAGAGAGGGCGTGTCTGTCTCATTAATTAATCCTTTGCAGGACATCTCTTTTCCAATTGAGATTGACGTCTCAATCTTCTCCTAGTTCTGGCATCCAGCCAGCATCCAGCAGTTTCATCGCTGCTCAAAGCCTCTGACACACTTTCACTGAGGTGCAATCAGGGAGGGAGTTCCAGAAGAGGAAGACGTCTCTGAAACTTCTAATAAATTAGGCTCATCTCTCAGATTCAACTCCTCCTCTTCCCCCAGACTCCTCTCAACGTCGCTCAGCAATGCAGGCTCAAATCTCAATGCCAGATCTTCCTCCTCACTTGAGCCTACATCTGCTGACCGATCTGGTTCAAAACTCGGAGGCACATCTAAATATGTTATTATATTATTATTTCTTTTGAATTGTTTAAAGTTAAACATAAAATGATTAATAATTATTTCTAATTTCTATGATTGAATTTTTAAATTATTTTTAATTGAATCAGTTTAATTATGATTTGGGTTCAAATATACAGGTGAAAGGGTGAAGAAATATACATTTATCCTTTAAAATCTACCATCCAAATAAATATTGGTATTCCTAAAGGAACAAATATATGAATAATTCAATATTCAAAAATATATTGAAATTTTAAAACAATTGACATACTGATATTTAAATCCGGTAAATAATAACATGAATAACAATGCTAGGATAGGAGAATCAATATGAATCCATAAAATAATGTTCTACTCACATACTCAATGGAGAGAGAAAATCAAGAGTATTTAGTGTCAGGATTTGATTACAAATTGAACATTATTTGCTTTCAACCTAGCAAAGTCCTAGTATTTGATCAGCCCAGTTCTGGGGTAATTCAGCACACATATTGATTTGCCCCGGGAATTGACAGAAACCGTGTACTCACAGTGGTCAGAGTTGTTGTCAATGACTTTTCTTGTAACCCAAATGGGCAGCTGGCATGCCAACTTCAGATTTTTCAAACTGCTGCAATAGTCTTCATAAATAGCAATAGCAATAGAAGTAAGACTTATATATAGCTTCACATTGCTTTACAGCCTCTCTAAGCAATTTACAGAGTCAACTGTAGTGCCCCTAACAATCTGGGTCCTCGTTTTTTTGACCTTGGAAGGATGGAAGGCTGAATCAACCTTGAGCTGGTGAGAACTGAACTGCCAAATTGCTGGTAGTCAGCAGTCAGCAGAAGTAGCCTACAGTACTGCATTCTAACCACTGCACCACCATGGCTCTACCCAAAGTCCTTCCCTTTGGATAACTGGTTGCCACATCCCCACTTAATCTTAGAAAAATAATCTAACCAAATGCCTCCATTTCTTAACATCAAAGTTAAGTAAATACTGAGATTTACAAGAGGAAGGATGGACACAACAGAGACAAATAGAAAACTGATTCAAATTATGCATATGAGGGGAAAAAATCTTCCTACATCCACCAATTCTTGACTTCAGCAAGGATATACAACTTCATAATATATACATGTTGCAATATAAAAAAGAATGAGTGTGACAAAAAAAACCCATGATTTAATATGTTGATTTAATGTGAATTAAAATCACATGAAGTTAAAGAAACATTATTAATATATTTATTTTATAAGCATATCATTGTTTATCTCTTTCATCAGAATTTCAAATTGCTAGAAATATGCAGAGGGGTTCAATAAATTTTATGAAAAAATGAAATATTTTAGCAAAATGAAACCCTAAATTCATTTATCTTCCAAAATGGACCAAAATCTTGTTAGGTGCCCCTCTAATATTTTCTTCAAGCTAAACAAGACTCTGGTCTGGTTTTTTTTCCCCCAGATCAACAAGTACTGAACCATTGTGTTGTGATAGGAATTGACCAACTGGCTTGTTGTTTAGCTTGATGTTCTCTGAAACAGAGTGAATGGCCAAGTCACCTTGCTGGGGGTTTTTTGGCCTAAAATGGAACTAGAAGTTTCCTGGTTTCTGGTCTTATGTCTTAACCACTGAATCAAATTGACTTTTTTAAGGACATCTCGTCCTTATTCCAAAACAGTGTATTTTGATCTTTTGAGCAGGAATCCCAGGTATTCATCATTCTAAGGGTAACATTTTCACAAAATCTGGAAAGTATATCTATGACATTTTGCCCACTGTTAAAGCAAACCTCTTACTAAATTCTCTGCTTTTGATAGTATCATTTTAATTTTATTCAGAAATTTATAAGGCCCATGTTGTTTTTATTCACCCAACCAAGTAGTCACTCATATAAAGAGAACAAAAGATTGAATACTAACCATCCAGCTTATATGGACTGCATATGCGAAACATGATGTCTTTCTCTATGTATTTCAGAACATCATAATCTTTCAAGTAAAACATGTTGTTTGGTGCCCCGCTGATCTCTACTAGTTGTGTAACATTAGCACCAGTAATCCCAATGGAATAGATAATGACACCTTCTTTTCTTAGAGCACTGGATGGTTCTCTTACATTATCATGTGCTTCCCCATCTGTGAGGAGGATAAGAATTTTGTTGACAGAAGGCCGTGCTCTTTTTGCTGGTTTGAAATAATCAGAAACAAATTGCAGAGCTTTTCCAGTATAAGTGTTCTGTTGCATTTGAGCCATGTTCCCAATAGCGTTAATAATGTAATCTTTTGATGAGTTGAGTTGGAACTCTTCTTTATTGGTGCTACTGAACTGTACAACACCGAATTGCACTTCATCTAGACCAACACTACACTTATCTACCAATTCTTGCATGAACTTCTTCATCTTCTCAAAATCTTGATGGCTTATACTTCCAGAGCTGTCCACTAAGAACATGACGTCAGCTTTCATTTTCTCACAGGCTACAGAAAAAGAATAATTATTAAACCACTGAATTTCTATGAATCTAGAGGAAAAGAAAAGCAAGTTTCAGAAACATTGCTTCTTATTTACTCCTAACCAGGTAAGTCCTGAAATCCACATCAGAAGCTTTGTTTACATGAAAATCTGCCTTTTTAATTATACCCAATACACCCAAATATGGAATGAAATGGATTTCTTAGTATGTTTGAAGCATATTTCATTATATTTTCAGTTATCTATAAATATAACTTCAGTCCTTTTCATTCTTATATTTCTACAGCTATCTTGTAATATTATTTGATCATGTCAGGAATGTCTATTTTAGCATTGGTGCTATTTATATTGATATAGATGTAATCTCTTGAATTATCTTCCTTGCAAATACAATCATCCCAGTTTCTTGCAATGCTGCAGAAATGATTTGCATTGCTTTCTTTTGAGAAATATTTACAACAGCAAATCAATTAATCAAAGTAGAATGCCGGAGAATGCCATCCTCAATCATCCCAAAAAGTCAGTTCAAACCTTTTCAAAAATGTGTAATATAAACATAATGTTTAAGTTATAAACATAACATAAAACAAAAAGGCTTCAAAGATTTTCTGTCTGAGTTTATAACACTAAATTAATATCAGCCGCCAGACTATAAATTACAATGGGCCTAATTTATCCTCAGCACTTATGTTCCCTTTGCAATCAGTCATTGAAAGTTCAAAATACTGAAATCAACAAAAGTTTATCCAGCTAAAAAAAGAGTATTTTATAGCTATTATAGTTTATATTTTCTATATGATCTTCCTATTTCAGAATTCAACTGGGGAAAGGTAAAACAGTAGTGTATTTGGAGGGGAAGAAAGCCTCTAATTTCACAAATGCAGTGTCTTTTAACAAGTCTGGACCCCTGCAGTTCAAGTGCTCAACAGAAAATATCTCTATACTATCTATAGAGTTAACATCATTTACAACATATAGTAAGCCATTACGTAGGGCAAACAAGCAGAAGACTAGCAGAGTGCATTCATGAACATCAACTAGCTGGCAGAAAACACAATGAAAATTCCTTCATTTTACAATGGACAGACTCAACAATACAGTTTCAACAACATAGGACAAACAAACTCACTAGTACTGATGATGTTACCTAATCAGGTCATGAAATGTGCAAGCAAACAATCAAGTTTACAAAGCATCAAGGACTCTATATAACATAACAGATTTTATTTAAAGGACTAGCTTCTTACCTTTTTCAGAGCATATGTCTCGAACAAATTCATTTTTTATATTTTTCAAGGAGTCAAACTGTTCCACATAGTAAACCTTTGCTTCTGAGTCTGCAATCTCATTTAACTGTGTGATATTAGCAGATTTCACACCAATAGCATAAATATTGACTGCTGATTTTCTTAGCATTTTAGAAGGTTCCAGCACATTATCGTGTGCTTTTCCATCTGTCAGTACAATGAGATAACAAGGGACTTTGCCACCTCGCTGTTTTTTTGCCTTTTCAAATAATGGCTGCATAGACCATATAGCAGCTCCAGTATATGTGTCTACTCCCATTTGGATTATATTATTAATGGCTTTTTCTAAATGGCTGGTTTTCATATACTTATCAAGTTCAAATTCTGTTTGATAAAGAGTTCCAAACTGAACAACTCCAAATCGAACATGATCAGGTCCTATGGTAAATAGCTTAATTACTTCCTTTAGGAATGTCTTCATCTTAATAAAATTTGAGGGACTGATGCTTGATGAACCATCAATGAGAAAATAAATATCAGCCTTTTCTGTTTCCATACATCCTGAACAAATAAACAAATTTAAGAGAGATCAGAGGCAGGTAAATAACTTATTCTCCTCCACAAACATTAATTGAAATCCTGCATTGAGGAAGGAATTGTGTCTCTGAAAAATAGTTTTCCTCAGTCTTCAAATTTTATAGATAGTCCAGAAGGATATATTCAATGACATCAAAAGCTGCTGTGAAATATAATAGGATCAGGTGGCATGCATTCTTCCTCTCAAATCACTTGGTCAAACACACTGCAGACCCCTGAATGAACCAGGAAAGACATGAGTCAACCATAAGTGGTAGAGATCGTATGAGAGAACACCCTATCAACTACATTGGAATTTGCAGAAGGAATTCCAGAGAATGTAGTTAAGTGATATCTCTGAAGGATATGAGCATTATTGTTAAGTTATCAAGTAGAAATTCTGACTTGAATTTCATAATACTGGCATTATTTATTCATTTATTATTGCTTTTGAATCCCATTGTAATCAAAAAACATTTTTGATGATTTACAATTCAATAATGCACAATTAAAAATTAAAAGCAAAACTAAAAATAATTTAAATGAAAATATATTCCATCGAGATAATCAATGGCAGATAATAAAAATAAAAGTTGGAGTGCTGAAAAAGTGACTGGCCCAAAATCACCCAGTTCAAGTTGAACTTGAACTTCCTCTTTCTAGCCTGGTGCTTTAAACAAACTGGCTCTCAAAATTTATTTATATTTTAGTTACCCAACTGCAATGATTTGTCAGAATGTGTCAGAAACATGAGAGAAAAGACAAGGTTGATAGAGTTGGGTTGTTTAAAAAAAAGACAAAGCAAAACAAGTATTCAAATATTCAAATTCAGCTTATTTAACTAGGTGACATGCATTTCATCAATGACATTACCTGATCGGAACTCTTCTGTTCTTTCAGCTTCATCAAAAAACATATGAATATGTTTGAATAGTTTCTTCTCAAAAATTTTAGACTTATCTGCCAGACTTGAAAAATTGTCAACTTTTATAATATTTCTATTTGGGGGATAGGATACTACTCCACCTAACTGTGTGATATTAGCCCCTTCAATGCTTATGGCAAATACTGTCACACCCTTCTGCAAAAGGAGACTTGATGCTTCAGTTACACTATCCTCAGAGGGTCTGTGGGTGATGAGGGTAGCTATTTGTTCCACACCTTCTGTCCTTCTGCTTCCAGCACTTTCAGTAAAAATTATTTCTCTAGTAAAGTTTAAGGCAGCACCTAATTTAGCTTTTCCTTCCCTGGGAGAAAAGCTCTTGATTTTAAATATAAGATCCTTTATCTCTGTTTCTGTGTTCAGTTGAGAAAGTACACGAGGCTCATTGCTGTATGTCACAAGACCAATTCTGATGCAACTCTTCTGCACATCAAGAGAGGTTGTTGTGTTTTGTAAGAAAGATACAATATATTCACTATTTGTAGGTGAAACAGCTTCATCCACCACAAATACAACATCTGCAATTAAATCATCAGAACAATCCACAACTGCAATAAAAAAGAGAACACACATTATTAATTCTCTTTTCTTAACAGTTTCTTTCCTTTTTGCAGGCTTTCCACTTGGGATTTGCCAGAGTCTCTCATCAATATATTACAAATTCTTTTTAATTTAAAAAAATTCTAGCAAAGCATATTTTAACCAGAAATTCCCATAAGTTTTGTGTGGATACTCTTTGAACACAAATAAGAGGGGGCCAAATTATTCTATAAAGACCAGAGGGCAGGACAAGAAACAATGGTTGGAAACTAACCATAGAGAGAAGCACCCTGGAATTAAGGAAAAATTTCCTTAACAGTGAGGACAATAAACCAGGGAAACAGCTTGCCTCCAAAAATCATGGGTGCTTCATCACTGGTGGTTTTTAAGAAGACACTAGACACATCCAAAATAGTATAGGTTCTCCTGCTTGAGCAGGGGGCTGGATTAGAAGACCTCCAAGGTCCCTTCTATTCTATTCTATTCACATTAGAAAATAAAAATTTGGAGTATCTGTAGTCCAATTCTTTGTCTTTAGACGTGAACCATAAAACAAAACAAAGATGATAGAAACTATTTCTGAGCAACTTTGTGGAAGGTATTCCACAAATGTACTTTTAGAAAAGTGACCAGACATATCCATTATAGTAGTTTTCTTGCACCAAACCTCCCACAGCAGTTATTTTATAAAAACATTTACAACATAGTCTCACATTCCTTAATTTTCCCCCAAATGGTGGGATTCAAAAATTTGTTACTACCGGTTCTGTGCATGTAGCTTGGTGGCATGACAGGGGAAGGATACTGCAAAATCCCCATTCCCTCCCCACTTCTGGGGAAAGGTTACTGCAAAATCACATTCCCTCCCCACTTCACTAACCTGCTTTCCAGCTCCATTCTCCTGTGCAGGGCACAGCTGGGACTCAGGAGGCAGAAAATAGATGGGACGGGGAACAGTCAGAGGTGGTATTTGCCAGTTCTCCAAATTACTCAAAATTTCCACTATCGGTTCTCCAGAACTGGTCAGAACCTGTTGAATACCACCTCTGCCCCTAAGAATGGGCTATCCCAGGAAAATAATGTGTTCCTAAGGATTGCCTACTCCTGATCAGGACTAAAGTGAAAAGTAGGATATGAGATATGAAAACAGCCTCTAAGGATCCTTGAGAAAGGTAGGAGCTGAGGGAAGGATAATACAGTGAAATTGGATGAGGAACTAAATGAAAATAATGGAGAAAAATCAAATTCCTGATACTGTGTTCTAGCCTTAGGGAACTTTGTGACTATGATGCATGTGAAAAAAATTAATTGACCTGTCCTGGACTATGACTATTCATAAAATGATCCTTCTGCAAAATGTACATTTTGTATTTATTGAAAGCATTATCACAATTAAGAAAATATAATTGTTTAAATATTCTCTCTTCCCTCCTATTGGAATGATTAAATTTAGAGGAAGTTCACTATTAGAAAAGAAATAAAATCTTCCTCTATAGGCCCTTCAATGTGTACCTTACTACATCTCCATTCTGTTCTGGAGATATATCTAGGAATCATGGATCCCTAGATACCTGCAATGGCAAGTAATTTACTCAATTGCTGGATCTCCCCTAAGGAAATGAAAGGAGAAAAAAGCATCCTGCCCTCCCAATTAACGTTATAGGAGCTTCAATTCCAGAATAGCATGAGATGAATAATTCATTTGTGCTATATACCAGTGTTTCTCAGACTGGCTGGAGAATTCTAGGAATGGAAGTCAACCACTTGGCTTCTGCAAAATTGTGCTTCTCCAACACTGCAGGCAATTCTCTCAAGTGATAAATGAGTTGCATGATATTATTCATTTCTCAATGAATAAAACTACTTTTTTCATTAGGAGTTACAATTTGGCAAAAAAAACTAGTACATTGTAATCTATATATTACATGTGTTCTCAAATATTTCATACAATATAGCAGCTGTTCAATTAGACATGCATGAATAAAATATGAAATAAAATTCTAAGTAGGTTTTGGAGAACTACAATTTTGCTTATACAAGCCCAGTCATGTTTTTTTTCTCTTTAAATAGTAATTGCTCCAGGATGCTCTAACTGATATTTTAAAACACCTGTCCCAAACCCTCATGGTTAATATAATAATATTTGTGATAATGTTCTGCATTATTGCTTTTACCTTTTATGGGCATGCTATGAGCATAAACTGTACTTGTTGGGGTAGCTGTGGAGAAGACTAAATTCTCATCTATTGCTATAGTTGATTCAATAACAGACAATATATTTGAGGAAAACTTTTGGAGATCTTTTAGTGTATCAAAATGGTAACTGAACGGATGTGTGGCCATTGACTTCAGCTCTTGCTCAGATGCACTCATCATTCCTAAAGCAATTATTTTTACCCCATCTTCTCTCATTAATGTAGCAGGTCCTTCCACGTCATCTTGTGATACCCCTGAAGTGGTAACAATCAAAACCTGGTGTCTGTCTCTTCTTAGTGCCTTGAAAATAGTCTTGTGGATCTTTTGTATGGCATTCCCAGTCCTTAAAGACCCACCCCGGAATGAAAATCTCTTTTTAACATGGTTCAGCATAGGGTTTTTTCCTTTGAAGTCTTCCAGCTGGAATTCAACATGGATATCATCACTGTATTGGATAAGTGCAAGGCGATATTTATTTGGCGCTATTGGAAGATTGTTGATCATTCTATTCACATAATTTTTTAATGAGAGAAAACCTTGTCTGCCGAAGGTATTAGAGCTGTCAATCAGAAGGACAACATCTACAGACTCAGAGGCTACAGCAAAAACAAAACAAGAGTTTATATATAAAACATTATAAACGTGTTTGAATATTAGTAGCTCGGGTTGGTAGTTAGGCTGTTGGTTAGGCTCTGAGCTTGGCAATTTGATTGCAAACATTTTTTCAATATGTGAGGAGACATCATCAGTGCCTTTTTGAATTGTGCTTGTCTGTCAGAACACTGGCCTTTAAATATCTTTTTATGAGATGCAAATTAGCCTGAATGTTGTTTGTTTTGATATTTCTGAGCATGGTTTGAATCAAACAATCTAAAATCAGACCACAGTTCAGAAATATCTGAACAAACAACATTCAGACTAATTTGCATCATAAAAAATATTTAAAGACCTGTGTTCTGACAAATGAGCACAATTCAAAACGCATTGCTGATGTCTCATTGAATGATGATGAAACATTTACAACCAAATTGGCTTGGAGCTCAAACCAACAGCCTAATTATTGTAAACTGCACAGGTTCAATTAAAGAGTGCAGTATAAACATTTTTATAAATCCTCGTACATAATCCATCATGCTCCCATCCTCACAGTTTGACCCAATTTACCTAATATACAACTGGGGCTTCTTTGTTTTTATACTTGCCTAAATTTTTTCTCACTCAAAATCAAACATGCATTTTGACAAAGAAAAAAACAATGTCAAAGTCATTCAATGTTTTAACAATATTTTTAATTTTTAACATTCCAACACCCACCCATCTGCTGCAAAAAACTGTGCCATTTAATTAACTAATAGGAATACAGGACAAGCTGCATTAGCAAGTTGTGATGAATTTCCAAAAGGAAAATAAAATACCAGGTTGCTGTGTTTTAGAAGCCTGGGTCCCAAGTATAACAAGGAGCAAAGTCAGAAGCATTTTCAGATTGTGATAGTTGATCAATGAATAAATCTAGAAATACAAATAAGAACAAAGTAACAACATCATGTTACTGCCAATGTATGCTGGTGTTGTTGACAACATCAATAATAATATCTTATATCTTCAAATTGTTTCCTTCAGCTGATCAAAGTCTTCGTATATTGGTCCCTAGCATGATGCCTGCTAGATTGGATGTCAATTGTTAGTCTCCTCAACCGATATGGCCAATAATTCTAAAGCATCTAGGATGAATAAGCCCACCTTTGAAAGGCATTGCATTGTAAATTAGCTGTCAATATCTCTTCTTTTGCTGGCCAAACTTGGAATGGTGGTGACATTAGCTTTAATAGTAACCCATGACTACATTGTTGATAACCTGCCTCACTTTCAAAATCAAAGAGGATATTTAATTTCATTTTTATACCTTGGTCAGTCCCCGATTTTACAACAGGAATGGAATGCCATTTGGCAGGCAGAACTTAGTACAATAAGCTCCCAAGAAGCTGATTGGTGAACATCTTAGAATGCAAGCTAGTTCCCATTAACATGGGATCAAAACAGCCATCCTAGGCAGCCCTAGTGATATGATCTTCACTAGTGGCAATTGTTTGGCTTCTTTAACAATAAACTCCCAGATCATCTGCAGCAGGTGGACAAAATGTGCAATATGATAAGTGCAGCATCATATACCTGCTATCTTGTACATTTTGACCATCTCTTCCCCCCTCCCCCAATAAAAAAGCCATATACAATATACTTCTGTAAACCAGAAACTTATTTGGGAATTTTGCATGAATTACATAACCCAACTGCCATATAGTCCAATGTAGTGAAAATAAGGCTTTGAAGTGTCCAAAACTAACTATGCAGTTCTTTTGTTCCTGAACAATATCTGGATCCCTTTTAAAGATTTTCCAATTTTAATAAATCAGAAATATAATAAATCTTTCCAACAAATAGAACAATAAAATGAGCTTTAGAAAAATGTAATTTAATCTCTTTTCTTGAAGAGCTTATTATTTTAATTGGGTTTCTGGGAAATAAGGCATTTGAAAATATGGCAGCAATTAGGCGACACTGTTCAGTGAAATATTTGTGGTCTACTGGATAAAAGATTTGACAATTTCTTAAGAGTATAAAATTCATTACAACTCTTTTGATTATAGTAACAGTAGTTATAAAACAAAACTTCTCCCGTTTACACTTTATGGAAATTTATCTTTAGCAGTAATGGTCTCTACTTCATCTATTTTAAGGCCTTACCAAGATACTAAATTAAACATGTCATGAAAGGATAATTCACCCCTAATGATTTCCTATTGCAAGTGAATGGGAGAGGCACTAATAAGGTAATAAAGCATTAAAAATTCAATGCACAGAAAAGTTAAGTCTTGCACTTAGGCAAGAAAAACCAAAAGTGCACAAATAGACTGGGTGATACCAGACTTAATAGCAGTAACTGTGAGATGGATCTGAGAATCTTAGTGGACAACCAATTAAATATGAGCCAACGGTATGCAGTGGCAGCCAAAAAAAGCCAATGCAATTGCATTAACAGAGGGATCAAGTGTGGTACTAATACCACTCTGTAAAGCCTTAGTAAGACCACACCTAGAATACTGCATCCGGTTTTCGTCATCATAAAATTAAAAAAAAAAGTTGAGACTATAGAAAGAGTGCAGAGAAGAGCAACTAGGATGATTAGGAGACTGGAGACTAAAGGATATGAAGAATGGTTACAGGAACTGAGCATGGCTTTTCTAGTGAAGAGAAGGACAAGATACAGACACATGATAGCAGTGTTCCAATATTTGAGGGGCTGTCACAGAGAGATGGGAGGGTCAATCTGTTTTCCAAAGCACCTAAAGGCCAGACAAGGAATAATGGATGGAAACTGATCAAGGAGAAAATTAAACTAGAAATAAGGAGGAATATTCTGACAATGAGAACAATCAACAATCAATCAAAAGCTTGCCTTCAGAAGTTGTGGGAGCTTTATTACTGAAAGCTTTCAAGAAGAGATTGGACTGCCATCTTTCAGAAATGGTGTGGGGTCTTCTTCTTGGGTGGGGGGATTGGATTAGATGACATACAAGGTTCCTTCCAACTCTGTTAATCTGAATCCGGTCAAAATGTTTTCCTGACTCATGATTGTGACCAAGGTTTTCTGCCTCATAGCATTGCCAGTACAGAGTACTAAATATCTTGATTACAGAAGGACGGGAACTTCAATTTGCTAGTTTTTACAGCCAGTCTTGAACTACCAACATTTTCCCTTTCCTCTATATGTAAAAAAAATATGGGGGACATCTTTTTTCATAAAAGGGTCGATCCTTTTCTTTTCATATTATTTTATCACTATAAGCATATTCTACTGATTGTAGTTTGCGAGTTATCACTACTTTTGTCACTCATTGTTTTAACCTTATGGATTATAATTAAACGATTACTTTACCATGCTTAGAATAAAAAACTGGATAGAATTTAGGAAAACTGAGCTTTCTCACTAGTTCCATCTTCAAAAGCCAAAGAAAAAGTTTATTTATGGCAACATGGGAGAAATAGAACCTCCTACAATTTAAATCAATAAAGCATGTCATCTATTTCCTTCAGTCTTGCCATGCTTTAAACTCTATTTATCCTAACATTCTTTTGACCTAGCTAATCTGTCATATTCTTTCCTCCCCCTTCAAAAACTATATATCAAGCAGGCATTTTACACAAGCATATTTATTTTAGTTTGAAAGTCATCTATAATTCCCTTTAGAATCATTTTTGTTCCCTTTGGAATCAGTGTGGTCTCCTGCACGTGTGACTTATATATCAGAAATTAAATTTTCATTGAAGCTGAAAGCCAATAGCAAAATCCAATATCCATTCTGTTGCAACAAAAATTTGAGTGGCTGTGGACGTCACAAATGTTCATATAAACCACATTCTTTCTGCTATTGCTTTTTAACATAAAAAGAGCATATTGCCTGCTGTTTGTGTTGTGATGATAAATCTCCAGTTACTTCTGCATTTCTCAAGCTTTAAAAATTCAGAGCTGAAAACCTTACTGAGCTTTCTAATGACTTTTTACCTAGGCAGAAACAGTTTGGGGGGAAGATCCCTACTGTGCAAATAGATTGTTGAATGATGAGAAACTGTAGCCTATGGCAAGTTTTTAATTTTTCTTTGTCAACTTCCTTTGTTTTTATTTCCCCCACCTCCCCCTAGGATTAAGACATTTATTTCATATCCAGTTCTTTAAAATCTATTAAAAATCATTATGTGTTATCCATAATTCATTTTAACATCTTTTGTATTCAACTTTCACAAATGTAATTTTTAATTAATATATCTCTGAAGAAATATTTTTTCAAAAAGAAATCAATCCAATCCAAACAAATATTTTGATGAATTTTACAAATTTACATCCACAAAACACCACTATAGAACTTTTTACTCTCTTCTTTATAGCAGCGAGATGTTTTTATCAAATTATCATCCCAAAAATCCAAAAAGCATTGTAGTGTGCTGCAGTGTACTTTCCACAGCAGTTTTGGAGGGCCAATACAAAAAAATAATGTGCTGAGATTGTGCCCCTGTGGACAAGGGACTATTGAAACTGTAGCTAATCAAAAACTTATTCACTAATAAGTTGGGAGATGGCTTTTGGATTACAATAGTAATGAAAAAAGTCATTGGACCTGAAGAAAGGCAAATTGCAGAAGAGACATATTTGTATAATTCAAGGCTTTAGGTATCTGGCTAGGCTACCTAGCTATGATGGTGCTGAATGAAAAATAGTTTTGATAGGTTCTTATAGCCATTGCAACATCCCTGTAGTCATCTGATCGTTTTTTTTTTAATTCTCTGTCAGTTTCCTCACAAGCAAAGTCAGGGCAAGAAGCCAGCAAGAAGTCAAAACTCACAGTCAGATAAAGTCTTCACTTGAGCCCTGGTGACACAGTGGTTAGAATACAGTATTGCAGGTTGACTCTAACCATTGCCTGGAGTTCTATCCTGACTGGCTCAGGGTTAACTCAGTCTCCCATCCTTCTGAGGTCAGTAAAATGAGAAGCCAGATAGTTGGGGGCATTATGCTGATATTGTAAATCGCATAGCGAGTGGGCGGTATATAAGTCTAAGTGCTATTGCTAATGACCTGCACAATTTTTGCTTAAAAACAACAAGAATTGCCAGGATTATCATTGCTAATAATTTCAGGTCAAATAAAAATAGTGTAGCTTTATGGCCTAGTCCAACCAAAGGTGTGATTTATTATTTTTATTTCTCCTGGTTTCATATTCTTAAGTAAATGCGGTTGGTTCTGAACATGGTTACATGATATTGTGCTTTATGACCATGTTACTTGGCAATGGCAATTCTAATATCTATTGTTGTAAACCCAAGACTACTTGTAGTGAAATTCTCAGTCACATATTTGATGAAACTTTCCACATTTGGAAAGTGTGACAGGATTCAGTTCTGCTTTATTTGCCAGGCAGAAATAGTAGCTCCAACAGTGGATGATCAGTCAAAATATAAGAAAAGTATGTGTACCTGTTCTATCTATAATATATATAAAGAGAGGAAGTAATTTCAAGTGAAATAAAAATAGTGTAGCTTTATGGCCTAGTCCAACCAAAGGTATGATTTGTTATTTTTATTTCTCCTGGTTTCATATTCTTAAGTAAATGTGGTTGGTTCTGAACTTATTTCTTAAAAGACATGAGCTCTAAGAGCAAACATAATGAAGCAAAGAGAAGCAAAAAGGAGTGAAGCAAAGAGAAAAGAAATACCAACTACATTGGAATATTATGCATATTTCTACTTGCCCCAATTCCAGAAGCATATCATAAAGCTGGAAAAGACAGGAAACTGCAATCTGAATGATCAAGCAATCAAGTTCTTTCCCCTTCAAAAGAAAAAAAAGAAAAATTTCTGAATCTTCTTAATTAGGGAGAAAAAAGATAATCAAATAAAGATCTAAAATTAAGCATATGCCATTAAGTGGAGAGAAGCAACAACACTTGGGACATCCA